ACATGTGGCTTATTATACCACTTATTACACAAGATACAAATAGAACCAATTCCCTAATAGAGTTTCATTTTTGGGGAGGAGGGGAGGAACATCAAGGGCACAAGGGACCGCAATTTGATTCAAACATATTCTACTTTGGGCAAATTTGACAATATCCTATACTAGACGTGCAATTGAGCATTCATCAGTTTTCATTTCATACACTCTAATGCAATCAAGATTAATAAGCCTCTAAATGACCCCAACTCTTGCACACACCCTTCTAAAAGAACTTTTACTCATCACTCAAGAGTCAAGCAAGCAAATCATATAAGCATCGTCATTTGAGTCTCATCCAACGGCCATTTTTCCATTTTTTTTTTTTTTTTTTTTTTTTTACTAAATGTTACTAGAAATCAAGAATAGATAAAAAGTTAAGAAAACTACGTAAAAAAAAATTGAAGCAGAACTATACATCTAAATAAATAAAGAAAGAATTGAAGAGAAGTATTCACATATTAAGAGATTTGGATTTAGGGTGTTGTATTTCAAAGGGAGCAAATTTGGATGTTTAAGGGTTTGGATGTTAGGTGAAGGAACAAACAACATGCAAAGTTTATACCAACAAGAACATACAAGAACCAACATATGAACCAAAGAGAAAGACTCCCCCCCAAGCTATCATAAACATTGTCCCCAATGTTAAAATAATTAAAGCACAAGAAGGGGGAGAAAGAGAACTAACTCATTGGCTTGGGCCTCCTTGGGGGCTTGAGCCCCCGGGGTACCAATGTCGGTAGACGTTCCGGAATTCACCCAATTCCGATGGAAGACCCTCAAAGTTTGTCCTCATATTAACGTACGAGGACCTCATGTCTTCGTGAGACTTTCTCATAGTCTCGAACTCGGTGGACATGCGGTTGAACCCGGCATTCATCATTTGAATTTGTTGCTCGAAAGAAAGGGGTGGGTTTCCCTCACCCATGCCTTGACCTTGGTACCCTTCTTGGTACCCTTGTTGGTGCTCATATTATTGTTGTCTTTGGAATTGTTTTTGGAAATGTTGTTGTTGCGGTTGTTCTTGGTCTTGCTCATGCTCTTCTTCATCATCATCGGGAATCCAAGGGTGGTCCCTCTCGAAGACCCAGTTGCTCTCGTCGTGGATGAAGCTCCGCTGCGGATCGGGGAGGTAGGCATAGGGGCGGCCACTCACGTGCCACAAGTAAGGATGCGGCCCTTCCGCGTCCGCAACCCATCTCATGGTCCTAAGAGATTGCATGTCTAGCTACGTAGGCCCTAGGAAAACCTTCTCATCTGCAAAATCAAGGTTAAGAGCATAAGCAATAATAGTGATCATGCCACCTATGGTGATGTTGTCGGACCTAGTGGCAACATCCTCTAGGTGGTCGACTAACCAGGCCCCTACATATAGGGTCATACTACCCTCGCTCAAGTTCCCTATGAAGTTAAGCTCTCTAGTGGACACTACACCTGAACTATCACCTCTAGCGAACGTCGTGTTCGCTATGATGCGTTGTGACATCCTAAAGGTGGGATGGATTATAGCTGTAGCTTTATCGGTCCCAGGGTTGTAGTCGAAAAGGCCAGTGATCTTCCTTCAAAACTCACCCGCACAATAGTTACGGGGGGGCCAATCCTTTGGTCCTATGGTGTCGTTAATTGGCCATCCAAAAGCTTGGTTCACCCTCTTTATGTTCAAGTTGTGTTGGGTGTTCATGAGTTGGAAGGTAAGGCGGCGGGGGGATCTACTGTTGTCTCGTTGCACTTGAAGGGTGGAGAGGAATTCAAGTGTCAACCTTTTCTAGGTCGGGGCGCTTAAATCTAGCCAATTTCCTAGGCCACAACCCTCGAAAAGCATCCTAACATCGTCCCCTACCCCTAAAGCCTCGGCAACACTCTTGTCATAGAAGTTTATAGGTCGAACTCTCCTCCTACTTATTCTTATATAGTTATTCAAAAAGATTGGGTCGTTGAACATGATTCTCATAGTGTCCACTTGTGGTGGATCAACGGGAGGAGGAGGAGAGGGGTTGCGGTACCTAGCATCCGTGTTTCTAGGCCGATTTCTTCTAGACATGGTCGGTCTTAATGCAATGCAATCAAACAAACCAAGACAAAATAATTACCTCGAAACCACACTAAGAGACTAAGTCCACAAGTCGACCAACCAAAGCTCAAACAAGGCCAATGAACACAACACAATAAACTCAAGTTCTAAGTCTCCCACCTAAAACAAGCAAATCACCAAGCAACAAATACCACTTCAATAATGCATCTACATTAATTTTACATCAATTTCATGCAATATTATTAAACAAACCAACACAACAATACACCTAAACAAGCATGTTCTTCCTTCATGAAAATCAATTTCTCAACCTCACTTAAAAAAAATCTAATTCTCAAAACACACCAAAATTCATTCAAACTCAATAATGCTTTTCAATTATCAACTATCAATCACTCACAACCAATTCAAAAAAACTTTATCAAGCAATTTTATGCAAAAATTCAAGGAATTAAACATGTAATTAGTAAAAGGGAGGAACGATTATACCGAGCTTATCGTGGGTGTAAAACCTGCAAATGAACCTTTCTAACCTTCCTTTTGCTTGCTTGAACTTACTCCATCAACCAATTATCTTGAACTTCAACTCCAAAGAAAACCCCCAAATTGATTTTTCAAGGTTAGGGTTTGAGTATTTTGGGTGATTTTTGGGTTTGAATGTGAGAAAACGAGTAGTAGATTGTGAAAATGTTGAAATGGAATGAAGATTTTTGAGAAAATCGTCGAATTTGGGTGAGAATGGAGAATTGAGTGGGTTTTGAAGGAGGAAGTAAGAGTTTTAGAGAGAGGAGGAGTAAGAATCGTGAGATGAGAGTGAGAATGAGTGAATTTTTTTTATTTTTTTTATGTTAAAGCCGTGCTGTTGCCAGCCATTTTTGGGGCGGCACGGACGTGCAACATTTGGCACGGACGTGCAGCCTCAGACAGAAAAGTGGGTAGGGTACTGACTTATTTGGCACGGACGTGCAACATTTGGCACGGACGTGCTGAGTTGCACGGGCGTGCTTAATTTGGCACAGACGTGCAGCCTCAGGTAGAAACTTAGGTAACATACTGACTTATTTAGCACGGACGTGCTGAGCCACTTTGCACGGACGTGCTAAACTTGGCACGTCCGTGCCAATCTGGAGAAATTTGCTTCAAACTTTCTGGTTCCTTCTGACTTCCTTTGCCCGGACGTGGGATGCTCTGCACGTCCATGCAGACCTGTTGCTGCACGTTTCCCCCCCCCCCCCCCTTTTTAGAATAATAATAATATTAAGGCATAATAATAATAAAATTATTATCATTACCATTATTATTATTATTCTTACAATTATCTTCTACTTCACTTCCACAAACCTTTTCTTACTTTTCTTTTCATCAACACCTACAAAAGACATTGAGAGAAAAGTTAGTAATAGTAAGAGTGATGGAAATTAAATAATAGTTTATGAGAGAGAGAGAGTTGAGAAACTCGGGTTGCCTCCCAGAAGCGCTCTTTTAACGTCACTAGCTTGACGACATTGCGAGATCAATGAGAGTAGGGAACATCAAACTCATCAAGGTGAACAACCTTAGCTTCCTCATGCACAAAACCGTCAAAGTATGCCTTAAGCCTTTGGCCATTCACTTTGAACGGTTCACCATTGTCATTTGAGATTTCTATCGCTCCATATGGAAACACCTTCTTAACGGTGAAAGGTCCACTCCATCTTGACTTAAGCTTACCCAGAAACAACTTCAACTGGGAATTGAATAGTAGCACCTTGTCACCTTTCTTAAACTCCCTTTTGCTAATATGCTTTTCATGCCAAGCCTTGGTCTTTTCTTTGTAGATCCTTGCACTCTCATATGCATCCATTCTTAATTCTTCCAAGGCGTGGAGGTCAAGCAACCTCTTCTCACCGGCGCTTTGAAGGTTGAAATTCAATGTTTTGATAGCCCAATGAGCCCGATGCTCAAATTCTACCGGCAAGTGGCATGGCTTCCCATAAATAAGCTTGTATGGAGTGGTGCCAATAGGATTTTTGAACGCGGTGCAATAGGCACATAGAGCATCATCAAGCTTTGTTGACCAATCTTTTCTAGACCTATCCACCGTTTTCTCAAGAATCATTTTTACCTCCCGGTTTGAAATTTCAGCTTGTCCACTTGTTTGGGTGTGGTAAGCTAATGACACCTTGTGCCTCACACCATATTTCTCAAGGAGAGCTTGAAAGGATCGCTTTGCAAAGTGTGAACCTCCATCACTAATCACAGCCCGGGGCACTCCAAACCTTGGGAAAATTACTCTTTTGAAGAGCTTGACCACAACCTTAGCATCATTAGTAGGAGATGCAACCTCTTCCACCCACTTTGATATGTAATCGACGGCCACTAGAATGAACTTGTTCCCAAAAGAGCTCGGGAAAGGCCTCATAAAATCGATGCCCCATACATAAAAAATTTCAAGTTCATGGATGTTATTCAAAGGCATTTCATTTCTTTTTGAAATATTACCGGTTCTTTGACACCGGTCACAAGCTTTCACCACACCCCACACATCTTTGAACATTGTTGGTCAAAAGAAACCGCATTGCAATATTTTCGCCAAGGTCTTGTTGGCACTCATATGTCCTCCACAAGGTGAGGAGTGACACATCGTGATAACATCTTCAATTTCATTATCCGGGACACACCTTCTAAAAAGGCCATCAACACCTTGTTTGAAGAGCAAGGGGTCATCCCAAAAGTATTGGCGAACATCATGAAGAAACTTCCTTTTTTGTTGATAGGAGAGGTCGGGAGGAAGAATAGAGCAAGAAAAGTATTTTACAATGTCCGCAAACCATGGTGTCAGTGCTTGGAGAATAGCAAATAGTTGATCATCCGGGAATGAATCGTCGATTGGCAAGTTATCAAGATCACCTACAAGGATAGGCAACCGTGAAAGATGATCGGCCACCACATTTTAGGCACCCTTCTTGTCCCTAATCTCAATGTCATAGTCTTGTAAGAGCAAGATCCACCGTATCAATCTTGGCTTTGGTTCCTTCTTGGACAAGAGGTACTTCAAGGCCGCATGGTCGGTGAAGACTATGATTTTAGATCCCAACAAGTATGACCTAAACTTCTCAATTGCATGAACAATGGCTAGAAACTCCTTTTTCGTGGTTGTGTAATTCCTTTGTGCATCATCCAAAGTTTTGCTAGTGTAGTAGATAGCATGGAGCTTCTTATCCTTCCTTTGTCCAAGAACGGACCCAACGGAAAAATCCGAAGCATCACACATAAGCTCAAAAGGAAGCTCCCAATTAGGGGGTTGAATGATAGGAGCCGAAATAAATGCCTCCTTCAACCTATCAAATGCTAGCAAACAATCATTAGTAAACACAAAGGGGGCATCCTTTACCAACAATTGAGTGAGCAGCTTTGCGATTTTTGAAAAATCCTTTATGAACCGGCGGTAAAAACCTGCGTGTCCAAGAAAGCTCCTTATCCCCTTCACATTTGTAGGGGGTGGGAGGCGCTCAATGACCTCAATTTTGGCACGATCTACTTCAATGCCCCTACTAGAAATTACATGACCAAGAACAATTCCTTCTTCTACCATGAAATGACATTTTTCCCAATTCAAGACCACGTTCACCTCTTGACATGTTTCCAATACTTTAATCAAATTCAAAAGGAAAATGTCAAAAGATTAACTAAAAACAGAAAAGTCATCCATGAATACTTCAATTGATGATTCAAGCATGTCGAAAAAAATAGACATCATACACCTTTGAAATGTGGAAGGTGCATTACAAAGTCCAAATGGCATCCGTCGATAAACAAAGGTGCCAAAAGGGCATGTGAATGTAGTCTTCTCTTGATCCTCGGGTTGGATTGGGATTTGGAAGAATCCCGAGTATCCATCCAAGAAACAATAGTGACTATGTGATGCTAGTATTTCCAATATTTAATCGATGAAGGGGAGTGGGAAGTGGTCTTTCCGGGTGGACTTATTCAATTTTCGATAATCAATACACATCCTCCACACGGTGACCGACCTCGTAGAAATGGTCTCACCCTTATCATTCTTGATGATGGTCATGCCTCCTTTTTTAGGCACAACTTGAACCGGGCTAACCCACTTACTATCGGAGATAGGGTAGATTATGCCCACTTCAAGAAGTTTTAAAACTTCTTTTTTCACAACTTCCTTCATGTTTGGATTGAGCCTTCTTTGGTGCTCAATCGAGGAAGCATGATCATCATCAAGTAAAATCTTATGCATGCATATAGTAGGACTTATCCCCTTAATGTCATCAATTTTGTACCCAATGACACCTATATACTCCCTTAAAACAACTAGGAGTTTCCCAAGAGAGGTATCATCAAGTTTAGCACTGACAATAACGGGATAACTCTCACTATCATCAAGAAAAGCATATTTAAGTAAAGGAGGAAGGGGTTTAAGTTCAACCTTGTGAGGAGGCGTAGTCCTCTCCTCTTTTACCTCCACATTAAGCACTTTCACTTTCTTTTCGTTGTGGACTAAAGGTTGGTTGAGCAAAAGATCATACCCCCTTGTTTCTTCACCTTCCTCAACTAAGCCTCCCGTTAAGATAGCTTGTAAAGGATCTCCTTCAAACAAATTCTCTTGGAACTTCTCTAAGTCCCTTTCCAATGTATCAACTCTATGAACTTCATCATACAATGGCTTTTTCAATGTTTGTGGGAATGAAAATGATATTTTCTCATCTCCCACATTCAAGGTTAATCTTCCTTGCTTCATATCAATCACAACACCCGCGGTGTTCAAAAACGGTCTTCCCAAGATTAGGGGCACCGTATTATCTTCTTCCATTTCCATTACCACAAAATCACATGGCACAAATACTCTTCCAACTTGAACCGGCACATCTTCAAGAATTCGCAAAGGTAACCTAACCGTGCGGTCAACCAATTGTAAGGACATTCTTGTTGGCTTCAAGTCTCCCACTTTCAAACTCTTAGCAATAGAATAGGGCATCAAACTCACACTTGCCCCAAAATCACATAAAGCATCCATAGCCTCCAAATCTCCAATCTTCACCGGTATTGCATAGCTACCGGGGTCACCAAGCTTTTGAGGAAGCTTGTTTTGAATGATTGCACTCACCTCCTTAGGAAGGGAGATGGTTGCACTCTCTTCAAGCCTACTCTTGTTGGATAAAAGATCCTTCAAAAGTTTTGCATATGTAGGCATTTGTGACATAGCATGAAGAAAGGGGATATTCACTTGAAGTCCTCTCATGACTTCAAGAAAGTTTGAAAACTTTTCATTCAATTTCTTTTCAACAATCCTATGAGGGAATGGAATGGGAGGCTTGTATACTTTCATGGGGGGCTTTTCTACCTTTTCCTCATCTCCCTCATTCTTACTTTGTGGCTCCTTTCTCTCAACATCAACTATCTCATTTTCAAACTCACCCTCATTTCTCACCACAACTCCCTCATCTCTCTTTTGTGGGTCCTCTTCACTCATACCTGGCCCTTCATAACCTCTCCCCGATCTCAAAGTAATGGCCTTAGCTTGCTCCTTTGGGTTCACAACCGTTGAGCTTGGGAAGTGACCACTAGGATTGGAGGATGAACTTCCAACTTGTTGTGCAATTTGAGCCAATTGATTCTCAATTATCTTGTTGTGTGCTTGAAGTTTTTGGATGTTTGCTTGCATATCCGCATTGCTTCTTCCTTGTTGTGTAATGAAGGTCTCAAGTGCGGCTTCAAGGCTAGATTTTTGAGGAGGTGGAGGAGCGGGTTGGTTATATTGTTGCCTTTGTTGGTTTTGGTCCCTTTGGTTAGGGTGACGGTAAGGAGCTTGTTGGTTTTGTGGATGAGATTGGTTGTATTGGTTTTGAGGGGGGCCTTGGTTTTGTTGTTTCCAACCCGTTTTTTGTTGGGGTTTCCAACCTTGATTGAAGGGTTGAGAGTATTGATCGTTTCTTTGCCCAATAGTCGCAGCTTGCTCTTGGTTAGTTGAGTTGCAATAGGAGGACAAGTGATCATTTCCTCCACAATTTTCACAACACATGACTTGTTGTGAAGAAGAGCTTGGAGATGTAAGGGTGGCTTGATCTAGCTTGTGAGCTAGCATGTCGAACTTTTATGCAATAAGGTCTATTGCACTAAGATCGTGGATTTCGCCCTTCTTTGCTTGAGGTTGCCGTCTATCACCTCCGTATGCATAGTGCTTTGCCACTTCTTCAATCATCTTGTATGAATCATCCACCGATAGCTTTTTAAGGCTACCACCGGCCCCGTTATCAAGGTTGGCCCTTGAAGTAGGAGTAAGACCATAATAAAAGCTTTGAACAATGATCGATGATGTGAAACCACGGTGTGGGCATTTTCTAGTGTAGTCGTTGAAACGCTCCCAAGCTTCACTTAAGGTTTCATCAATCTCTTGATTGAAATTGGTGATTTTTCTTCTCAGTTCGGCGGTCTTTTCGGGTGGACAATACTTTCCAAGGAAATCTCTAGTGACTTCATCCCATGTGGTCAATGATCCCTCTTCTACTGTTCTCAACCAATGCTTTGTTTTGTCACAGAGGGAGAATTGAAACATGTGCATACGGATGAACTCTTCCGTATTGTTGTTTTGCTTGATGGTTGTGCACAATTCGAGAAAGTTTTCCAAATGAGCAAAAGGACACTCATGAGAACTCCCACCAAATTGATCACTTTGTATCATACGGATGAGTTGAGGTTAAAGCTCAAAATTATTTGCATTCGTAGTAGGGAGACGTATGCCACTCCGAAGTGTGAAGGCATTAGGGTTGTCATAATCTCGTAACAATGGTGGAGGAGGATTGTTATCACCCATGTTATCTTCTTCGTTGGTTGCAAAGATTTCCTTCGGATCGGAATCCGAATATACAATAGAGAACTCAGTTGTGCCTTGCAAAAGCCTCCTCGCGTTTCTCAAAGTCCTATTTAACTCTAGATCAACGGGAATAAGCGATGATTGCTTACTCTTCCGTGTCATGAAAGTTCAAACAAAGCTAAGAAAAACGTTAGCAATGACTATCACAAGTTGAAAACACAAATATACAAAAATAAATAAGAAAAATTATGATACAAATATACACAATTAGACTCATTCAACAATAATACATTCAATGTGACTTTGCCTCCCCGGCAACGGCGCCAAAATTTGATAGGCCGTCGTCGAGCCTACCAAAGATAAAGTCCTATCTTGGTCTCACTAGCTAATAGAAAGGGTAAGAAAGGGTCGAACCCAAGAGAGGCGTTGAATCAACCACCGAGATACTACCGTTTAAACAAGCTAAATGAAGTCGAAATTGGTTTGGCTTTATGTAGCATGTACTAATTCAAATCAACTAATACTAAGGGATGATTAACAATATTTAGAGAATTCTAGGGCTTGGGATATACCACTCAATTTCGTCACAAATCACAATTAGTAAGTAGCAAACAATGGTAATTTGTGGGGATAATATAGGGGAAGTCATCTAAAGCACCCAACTACTCTCTCAAGCTAAAAGGGATTACTCGAATCATGAATACAACCTACTCTCGTGGTTACTAAGCATAAAACAAGTATTAAAGCATAATCATGATGATAAAAACAATCCTTTGACTCGAAATTCCTATTCTCATGGCATTTCAAGTCAATTAAGTATAAGGGAGCTAACTCAAGTTCATACAAGAATTAACTAAAGATTAAGCTAAATAATAATCTAAGCATACAAGAATTAAGCAAGATAATTAACAATCAAAGCAATTAAAATGGAAGAGAAGAGTGAGAAAATGTTACTAGAAGCTTCAACTTGAATATCAATGGTGGAACTTGTCTTCTACAATGATTGAGAATGAAATTTCCAAGCTAATAATTATAATCTAACTAATGATTTCAGAATATTTGTGTTTCTACAATTGTAAACTAAGAGGAAGCACTAAAAACTGGGATGCTGTAAATATGAGCTCAAGGGGTTATTTATAAAGACCCCCAAATAAAAAAGACGGAGAAAACAAGAGTCGAGCATGGCTACAGGTCAGCACGGACGTGCTGAGGTTGGCACGGACGTGCACCTGGGAGGCAGAAGGTACTGTTTTGGCCAGGGCATCCTGCACGGACGTGCCAAATATGGCACGGACATGCAGGATCAGGCACGGACGTGATGAATATCCTGCACGGACGTGCTGAATATCCTGCACGGACGTGCTGAATATCCTGCACGGACGTGCAAGCCTTGAAAGCAGTAGGCAGTAGCTTGTGGTCGTGCTGGAACACTTCTGCACGGACGTGCCATACTTTACAGGTCCGTTCAGACTCTCTAAGGCCTTTATCTTCACTTTTCTTTGGTTTTGCTCCATTGTTTCGGCTTCTAACCTCGGTTTGTCATCTAAATTCCTCAAATGGTCGTCTTTGAACCTAAAAACTCAACAAAAACACTAACAACCCGTGAAGCAAGGGATACACAAAAGTTGAACAAAAACAGAGTAAAAGTGAACCAAAATGCCAATATACCAAGTAAACAAGGTTCGAAATCACTCTAAAATCGTATTAAATAACAAGTTATCAAAATACGACTTCATGGTTTGGGTGGATTAAATAACTCAGATGAACCCTTATTGCTATGAGTGTTTTTTGGTTGATAGAGCTTAATTCCCCGGGGCTAAGACGTATGCAGAACACACACGTTTTTTTAGAATAACCGAAGGAAGTTGACTGTGAGAAGAGAAAATAAGCCACTGGACGGATTTAAGGACTGTCGTGACACGGCACAATGTACCGTGTCACGGTGCTGAACCCCGTGTGACGGAGTAGGATGCCGTGACATGGCAACATCTGTCGTAGTGCGGCAGTTAGAAAATCTGACTAGTGCCCTGTTTTCCTTCGTTCGCAATCAAGTTATTCAATTTTTCTTAGACCTAAACGCGACGTTAAAATGTCTATGCTTATGCAAAAAATGCCACATTAATCACAGGAATATTTTTTAAGAATCTTTCAAGTCTCATCCACTCATCTTAATTAAATACCGATCACTCAAATCGATAAATAACCAAAAATCCTCCCTAGTGGAGTCTCCAAATTGTAGGCGTCGTTCGAAATGCGCCTACATTAAAGCATATTGTGAATATGCTTCGCACTCATAGAAAGTGGGAATTGACATATTACGATTAAGGACAAGGAAAGTAGGGAGCCGCCAGCAAGTTTTTAACGAACTTGTAAACCGTTCACGGATCATAAAAAGGCAACCACGAATAAAGGGACAACGAAAGGCAACAACGATTGACCCGTGAAGGTTATACCCCCAATCATAATCCATGAGATTACTAACTCCATATGGTTCAGAACCACGAAAGGAGGATCGGGGATGATGGTATAAAGTGATTCATGGAGTCATATTCGCTCGTATTGGCCTCTACTCGATTCTTATTGTGAAAAGTGATTCCTGCGATCACAAAGGCATGCAAACAAAGATTCAGTTTGCTCCAAACTATTATTATTCTAAATAGGTTGAATATTAATGCAACACATAATTTTAATATATTAGTGATCACTTGAATTAATAACAAGCTTAAAAAGGAACCTAAACCGGTCGTCCAAATTATCTTATTAGGCATGATTTTCAATTACATATTCCTTTTAAACGTGCAATATGGTGATCATAAATAATAATAGAATAAACATTAATATTGGAAGCAATTTAACAATAAATCCAACAATATAAAATCGTTAGAAAAATAATAGAAATAAAAGGAACATAATTCTTACTTTAATTTTGTTTACTTGCAACTATAAGACAATAAACGAGTTATTAACTTCAAGGAAAATAATAAAACAACCATTAAATTAAATTAAATTAAATTAAATAGAGTTGACTTGGGGCCAAACCCTCAAACAGTTTTACCTTTCATGCCTTGGTTTAATGACAGAACCTCGAGTAAAGTACGGACTCCTTGGAGTGCTTAAGGAATGAATTTTGAAAGAACAAGGGTAGTCTAGTGTTTAGGATAGAGCATAGAAGAGAGAAAAAGAGAGTTTAATGGATGCCCCGTACATCATAAATGGGGGGTATTTATAGGAAAAATGAGTAGAGAGAACACACGAAACCCTAAAATGGATCAAAACCCTAAAAACACTACCGCAACACGACAAAAATTGCCGTGATACGGTGAACATTTGTGTGACGATGGATATTTTTGTGTTACTTGGGAAATATATGACCTACGGGAGGTAAAACACGTGAAGGGATTACACGGAAAAGACACAGGAGTGTCCCGTGTCACAGCACAGGCATCGTGTCACGGAAAATCACACTGCAGGTGCGGCAATTAGCCCGTGACGCGACAAACTTTACATCCATTTTTCCTTCTAAATACATTTTTGCCCTAATTTCATTCAGCCTTTTTAAGTGTCGATTGATAATTTCAGGCCATTTCTGAATGATTATTTATTAATTGGGCCAAAATAATAATAATGAAAAATAAATAAAATGATTTGGACCAAAATAAAAAATTAAACTATGTTTTGACTAAACATTAAGACTGATCTGTTGACTATTAAAAACTGAATTTAATTATTTGATTTTTTGTTTGTTGACTATTTCGTGGATTCTCTGGTGAAGAATTTAGTTATTTGATTTTTGTTTGTTTTCTTTTTATTTTAAATTTTTTTTTTCTTATTATGTCTGGTGGAAGAAGGAAAATCTCTAGTGGGTCATTAGGGTCATCTTCAACATCAAGGCATCTTAATCAAGGAAGAATCAAGTGCACTTGTGGCTTAGATGATGTGATAGGCACTATTAAGCAAGGGCATAACATTGGTTCGAAGTTCTATAGGTGTCCAAAGTGGCCTGTAAGTTCAATTGTTTGATTAATTTTGTAATATATGAGATTAGGGTTTGATTGAAATTGATCTGTAAGTAAGGTTTAATTGATTTTTGTTGATAAATGTGGTGAGCAGGACACTCAGTGCAACTTCCTAATGTTGATGGAGTTGAACAATGATGTTGATGAACTAAGGTTCAAGTTATTGAAAAGGACACAATAATCACTGAAATGGAGATGCAAAAGGAGATGTTGGAAGAAAAAGTGAAGAAGTTGCAATTGAAAAAAGGCAATTTT